GGTGAAAGCTAAGGGCTACTTGTTTTGGAAAAACCTGTCTTGGAAATCTTTGGCATGCCTCAGTGAAGGCGTGGTTCCTTAAAAAGCCCCCACCTCCCAAAGGCTTGAAAACCACTGCCAACTCCTCTTTCCTCGTGTGTCTGTTAAAGTAAATCCTGTAACTCTGAACTTCTTGGCTTTCATAAATGGCAGGCTGATTCATGCATGATTTATAAATTATAGCTGTGGACCATTAAGATAGGCTTGTCAGCCTTAGGTTGGCTGTAATGGCTTTCTGTCGTGTGGTTTTGAATTTCTGAAGAAGCAGATACACAGTAGTTGGCAACCCAAACAACCCAAGTTCCATTTGCCCTTCTAGAAAGGCTGCTTTTTTTAAGTGGGATTTTTTTTCTGCTGGAAATCTCCTGGAGTTGTGCCTCATCTCAGAGTCTTCACTTTTGAGTGTGCATACCGGGAGTCCTCCTGCCACCTCAGCCGGGTGGGAAGGCTGCTCCCACCTGAAGGACACCTCACTGCTGCAGACAGAGGAGCAGCTATTTCTGCGATGGTGCTAACAGAAGTTGTCCAGAAGCTCACCGCCGTCCCTGTCTCTGTACGCTGAACCAGACTGTGATATTCTCAGACGCGAGCGTTGGGAGTGACTTTTGTTCTCACGCAGGAAGCAGCCTGCGCTTGGCACTGTCTGGGTGCACGCTGCCCCCGGAGGGGGTAACGCTGCCTCTTGGCAGCTTGTCTGCAGCGCCCCCCGCGGAAGAGCAATGAGGACCTAAAGTCTGGTGCCAGAAAGCAAGGCTGATGTGAGAAGAACCCCAGTCCTCAGGCCAGTCTGTGAGAGCCTCCCATGGTGCACAGGTGAAAAGTCAAGCGATGAGGCAACGTCAGGGGTGCAGAGAGCACATTGGTACCCACAAAATTTTGGCTTGAGGAAAAAATGTGGGAGATTCCATAGAAAGCTTGGAGGTCGAGCTTTAGGAAAACCACTGGAAATGGTAAGACGAGATTACTTCTGCTTCTTTCCTGAAACCTCCAAGCAAAAACAAGGCCCCAAGCCCGTCTGGCCACCTCCTTGGGACACCATATTTCGTGTGAAACAACCCCCAGTGCCCCCGGTGACACTTGCGACACTCAGACCGGAGGTCTGTGCTGGCCACACACAGCCCTGCAGAGGTGACGGCCTTACTGTGCTGCACCTTTTAAGCATTGAGACATGGGAGGAAACAAGTAAACCGCTCCGCCTAACCCGCACCCTTTTCCAGTGTAGTTTCGGTGCCCAGGAACATGATCACTTGATGACAGAACCCAAGCGAGACACTGACCAGGAAGTTCTGGCTGTCCAGGTCTCATTGCAGCTGCTCCGGGAGTGCGAGCGGTTCCAGCCAGAGAACCCGATTGCGTTTCCTCTGTCCTGTCTTTTTTGGACGCTCGTGGGAAGCCCAAGCAGTTGCCGTAAGCCAGTTTGGCTGCCAGTTCGGGGTTACACGAGAGCCACCCAGAGTGACTATGTCTGACACTGTGCTCCTGGCCCAGGGTCTCAGGGTGCTAGACCCCGGAAGCAGCCAATTTCAGGCTTTTAATACACAAAATTGCACTAACACCAACATGGATACAGATGGATGCACTGCAATGAACTGTAACCACTTGAGAAAAGCCTTCGTTGACTCTCGAGTAAATAATGCACATTTTAAAAGATCTAAATATGCACTTACATAATATGCCATAATTCTTATTGTACCAGCTCCTCCCGCACAGGCGCGTCCACAGGAGACAGTCTTCCTTGCCTGAAACGGGCTTGCACCGCTCCTGGTGACTCACCAGCGTCGCCGACACAGTGGCAGTGGCTGCCTGCAGGCTTCTCGTGGACTCACTCTCTGGTCTGACCCAGCGACTCTTTCTGCAGTGCTGTGAAGCCAAGATAAGGAGCCAAGGAAGAGAGAGGGCAAAAGAGAAGCAGGAGACACTGATGAGTGCTTCGCTGTGAGCAGCCGGCCGCGGAGGAGCGCGACTTTCTCTAGAGGAGCAGCAAGTAGTTAGTGATAATCACAGCTTGCCCGTATCGGGAGCACCACGCTTCCATTTGGGAGGCCCGCGGTGCTCTGCGTCTCACGTCACAGCGAGCTGATGGTCGGGCAGGAGTCCCCAGCTCAGGAGGGGAGGCTTTGAGAGGGCGGCCCTTGATGCCGGGGCACTGGCGTGACTGGAAGCCACAGGCCAGGTGACTTCGTGCCACCAGGTGAGACGAACTGACCCTAATAAATCCGTCACTGTAGAGCTAATTCCGTGTAGCACACATCACCTGCGTTTCACGTTAAACTTCGTGTCATAAGGAAAAGGTGAATAAAACATTTTAGCAAAATATAAGAAAGCTAAAGTCTAAATGGAAGTGGCTAATGATTTTCCTTATATATTTAAAGGCCACAAAATGAGGAAAAGGGTGTTTATGACCAATTACTGGGGAGACTCTACCCACAGTCCTATCCAGTGATTTCCTCTGTCACACTTTCTTACTTTACCTGCCTGACTTCACTGCAGTGGAATTTTTCCTTGAGCAGCCCTGGCTCTGGCCGCCAGGGTTTCTTCACCAGTCACTGCCTGCTGAGCACCTCAAGTGTGCACTCCACCTTGGTATCACAAAAACCAGCCTCTTGGGGCACCGTGTGTGTGTGTGTGTGTGTGTGTGTGTGTGTGTGTGTGTTACTAGAGACTGAATTGCTGGGAGGCAGGGGATTGCTAAGTCTAAGTCACTAAGTTGCCTAGGCTGCACTGAAACTTGTGACCTCCAGTCTCAGTCTCCAGAGTACTGGGACGGTAGGCATGTAGCACCAGGCTTGTGTCTCGGGGGTCTTGGCTGTGGAGTCTCTGTCTTTGTGCCTGCTGTGCTGCAAAAGTTGACTGTACATCTCCTTGGTCTCTGTCCATCCCAGCCTGTGGGAAACACCACTTTCTACCTCCTTGCCTAGAGCTTAGGTAGTCAGACACCAGGCTCCAGATCACGCTTCCTTCCCCCAGCCAAGATAACCTCGCTGTGGTATGTGAAGAACCCCTGTGGTTCTTGTAGCCAGCAGCACCATTTCTAAGGTAAAAACTGACCAGAGCCACTCAGCTCTTTGGCCTCCATGTCAGAATCAGAGCCATGCGGGATGCTGCCTTCTGCTGTTTTCCACAAGCTGTCTGGCTCTTTACCTAGTGGAGAAGTGGAGCTTTGTTCTTATCTAGTTGTACAATTATTTTCTTAATTTCTGTATTCCTCGCTTACTGAATTATTTATTTGCACAATCAAGGAATATTTGTGAATGCTAGACTTGTCTCTGAGGATGGAGCAATAAGGAGCGAAGAGCAGAAAAGCTGTTTACTAAGATGAGAAGCCTGTGAGAAGATTAAGTTGAGGGGAACGTGTTGAAAGTCCTAGTCCTTAGGTTGTGTTCAGGATGTCCTCAGTTGCGTGGTGGAGGTAAAACAACTCCGTGATGGACTGGACTTGGCGCCTGTGGGCTTCCACTGCCCCATGAGCAAGGCATGGACTAGGCTCGGGTCTCCTCTCCAAACCCCTGTGCTCACTCGGAACTCCACGTGCTGCCGTGGGCCCTGCAGCCCTAGCCAGCTGTTACGGCTTGTGTCCAGGTGTCCCCCAAAGCCTCATGTCATAGGGCAGCTTTGGCAGTTTGTGATTGATTCTTGATCCAGTGCTGGGATTATGGGTGTGAGTACCCTGGAGCAGATACTGTATAGTCCAGTGTAAGAGGGGAGAGAGGCTAGCTGGCTGCCTGAGCTATTGCCGCTCTTTTTGCTCTCTGCTCTTTGCTGCCACCACGAATGGTTGCTCTCTGCCATGTGCCACTCTACCTTGGAGTCAGCTGAGTGTGGCCTGAAACCTCCACTAACATAACACTAAAGATTTATGAGATACATAAACCTTTCCTTCCTTCATTCTGTGTGTTGGGTATTTTGTCCCAGCAACAAGAGAAGAGTAACTGAGACGTCATTCTTCCTTAGATCCCACAGCATCACCAGCTGTAGCCTCCCACAGCCTTTAGCTACCAGGCCGGCTTTACCTGTGGGTCCCAGAGAGTGCTCTGATTTCTTCAGTATGTGACTCCTAGTATTCAAAAAGTTGTTATCATAAGCATTTCCGTATCATGTGTTTCTCTTTGCAGGGACTCCTTCAGTTCAAAGGCTTAAGCCTAATGGGAGAATCTGCACCCCTTGACATGCTCTGCCTCTCCGCAGCTCCTTTATCAATTGTCCTTCCAACTCCAGGGCAGGAGTCTCCTTAGAAAGACTATTAAAACTTTCCCTTGAGTTGTGTAACTGTGTGACCTCTGTGTGCCAACATGCAAATGTGCAGGGTCCAAATGCAAGGAGTTGAAATTGTCTGAGTCTTCAGCAGTTTTTATGGGTTAAGGTCCCACATTTTAGCAGGGATCACCCCTACCCAGCCTATGGGTTCCCTTGCTCTGGATTTTCTGTATTGGCTTTGAAAAAGAAAAAGAAAAAAAATGACAGAAGCTTCCATGTAAAGTGAACCCTCAGATTTGGGTTCATTAAGTGATTATTTACTACATTCAAAAAATTTTCATCCTGAATTTAATCCTAGAAGGGGTATACCAGCTCCAACAGTGAATTATTGTCTTTGGTGTGAAAGGCGACCTGTCTGTGCACACGAGGATTTGTTGTGTGTAAAGTCAGTTACACATTAGTCAGGTCTAATCTACCAGATACATTTTTTATTGCTGGCTTCATTAAAAAGGCTCTTAATGTAATGAATAGTCTTCATCTTCAACAGGGATAATTAATGTCTTATAACTCCCATCCACTGGAAATGGTCGGCCCGAAACTCAACCCGAATCTCACCTCCATGTTTGTCTTATTTAAGCCTAGAGGGAGGAAATTGACAAGGCCCAAGTGACCGAAGTCGGCCGGGCTTCCCGCTCTGCACCTGCCGCTGAGCCAGGGGCAGCTGCACTGCGCTCCGCTCTCGCTAACCCTCTGTCCTCTCTCTGCAGCAAGCCCGCACGCCACGCCGTCGACGCTGCACTTCCCGACGTCCCCCATCATCCAGCAGCCTGGGCCTTATTTCTCCCACCCGGCCATCCGCTACCACCCTCAGGAGACACTGAAAGAGTTCGTCCAACTTGTCTGCCCTGACGCTGGTCAGCAGGCTGGACAGGTGGGGTTCCTCAATGTAAGGAAACCTCTTTTCTTAAATTTCTTTAGAAGTGGTAACTGGATGTAAAATAGCACGGCAGGCCTCGTGACCAGAAGGGCATAGTGCTTATGTGCTGTGCTCGGACTGCAGGCCGAGGCCATCTTCATCCAGGACTGTGGGAAAGTTAACTTGCTCTGAGGAGCGATTGGCTGGGACTTAAAAACAGTGTCTGTGTTATGTTTTCAGCTGTCCAGTGGTGGTTATAAATCACCTCCAGGGTGAACCGTGGAACCCTCTCAACTCTGGGGGCTGATCATTCCGCTGCCTGCATTCCAACCCCAGGACACACACAGTTAACAAAGTAGAAAGATCAAATAATTTTAAATGATGATTTGGAGCTATGAAGGGAAGTGGGGGCGGCAGGGGACAGATGTTTCAGATCAACCAAGCTGGTACTTTTTTTAAAATATGGTCTTCTAACACTTCACATCAAGTTGACCAGTAGTTGAACTCAAGATGCTAGAGGTACGGTTTATTATGGTTTGTTATTTCTGCAAATAGTTGTCTTTCCCACTTATCTCTGTATAAAGCTAAACCATATTCAATAGCTTCGAGTGAATGTTTTTATTTTTTCTCAAATAAACCAAGGAGTCACAATTTGAAATAATGTTCCAAATGTGAAAGTAACTTCTAAAAAGCATGAATCTTATTAAAAATCTCAAGTCAAATGTTTGCAATAAATGGCTGTATCCCTGAGCCAGCGCTGACCGCGATCTGGAGCGGCCAGCGTGACGCCGCTGCAGCTGCCCTCTGCCTGTCATGGCACAGGGCCGCAGGTCGGCTGTCGTCCCATTGCCCTGCCTCAGTGCCTGGCACACTGGCCCCTGCCTGGGTTCCACCCCTGCAGAAAGGCCTGATTCTGCACTTTGGTGATGTCTGGTGATGTGTTAGCAGACGTATGTCTGTCTAGACAGCAAATCAATACGGTGTCTTTTCCCCTTTTTGCTCTTGTATTCACTTGCCCAGCGTCTTCCACGCATTCACTTAGGGCCTTCCAGGACACAGAAATAACCCACTGCAAGCTCGCTGGCAAGAAAGCGCGTCCTCCTGGTGGTCGCACGAGACAGACCTGGGGCCAGTGCTGGGTCTCAGTGCCAAGGAGGGACAGTGGCTGCGCGCAGGACTGCCAGGCTCCCCCAGGAGCAGAGCAGCAGGACCTCCGCCAGCGGGGCTCGGGTTTGGGGCCGCAGCTGTGCGTAGCTGCGGCTGTTGGCTGAGTGGTGTCACTCGTGCCACAGACTACTCAGGAAGTAATGAAAACGCCATTCTGGCCACCAGAGCCAGCCTCTCGCTCCTGGATTTCTAACCTGTTTTTAAAGTCTTGACATCATCCCATGCGACTCTCAGATGCCCAGGTCTGCATTTTGACCCAAATCGTATAGGGCTTGTGGCAAATCTTTCTTCATGGAGCTACCCTGAGAATAGCAAATTTTATTGTTCTCTTCAGAAGGAAACTTTCTTTTCGGCAAGAGCTGTTATTTCGTTGTTTTAACACCAAACAGCCAAACAAGTGTGACCCCCTTGATATGTGTTTATATAATTTAAATAGAAGTGGTATTTTGCCTAGCAGAATTTTCTGCCAGATGTTACATAATATACAAAAGAAAAATGTTGTGTTGACTTAACCCATTCGTTAAATGTTATATGCAGTCAATTTTGGAAGATGACACTATGTCCCAAATGCATATTTTAGAAACTTCATTTTATCTATACAGAGAGACACTGAGGTCCAAGATAAGAGTCCATGAGACACTCAGCTTGTCCATAAATATTTAGTGATTACAAGAGCAGTGCTAAAGATAGGAGTTAACACGGAACTGTAGCAGGCTAAGCAGAGTCCGGACTTGGTGACAGACCCAAGGCCTGTAACTGGCGTCATGTTAGGAGCTGATATGAACCACAGAAGGAGGTCAGGAGGGGGTCCAGAGCACAGGAATGTGTGTCCTGCTATGCCCACTGCAGTGTCCAGCCCAGTTCTGCCCAGAAGGACACAGGCAGAGCATGCACAATCGGGTGGGGGTGAGCTGGGGCAGGGAGTGACCCGACTCTGACACGCGTTGCCTCTCTTTTCTCCCCTCCCCCCAGCCCAATGGGAGCAGCCAAGGCAAGGTGCACAACCCATTCCTTCCCACCCCAATGTTGCCACCGCCACCGCCACCACCCATGGCCAGGCCTGTTCCTCTGCCGGTGCCAGACACGAAGCCTCCAACCACGTCCACGGAAGGGGGCGCGGCCTCCCCCACCTCCCCAAGTAAGTACAGCTGAGCCAGGTGCCAGTCCCTTCCTAAGCTCAGGGCGCTTGAGGCGCACCTGAGTCCAGGGACAAGCCCAGCCCTGTTGTTTGTGTTGCTTGGCTTTGCAACTCCTGCTCCCACGTCAAGGGCACAGCCCCCAGAACCCTGAGAGACGCCAGTGTGCAACAACCAAGTGTATAGGTGCGTAGACACTGTGAGGACAGGACCAGGATGGCGGTCACCATATGGGGGACCTCAGGTTCTATGCGTGGCCCGAGTGGCCCTGGCCACCAAGCTGCATTCGGGTGCAGGAACGGGCTCTGATTAGCAGAGATTCCTGTCCTTCCTCACATCCCTGCCTTCCAGGAACTTCAGGCCCAGGAAGCGTACACGTAAGAGGCTTAAACATTGTGCATCAAATAGAAAAAAATGCTTAGGTCAGAGTATCAGTGCAGAATGTATGCCTTGAACACCACCAAGCAAAGGTACCTGCAAGGGACCAAAGCCGGCACTGGGACAGTTACATGGCCATCCATGGCTGGAGGAAGCAGGGTACAGGGTTGGGTAGAAATTGGGAGCCTGGCTCTTCCCTGAGCTTTGGGGACATCTGGACGGAGAGGACAGGGTTTCAAAGCCCCCTCATGGCAGGAGTGATTCCTGGTGAGCTGGAGAGCTTGTTCCTGGATTTGTCCTGGCATCTTAGGGCTGGCATGGACTACAAATAGCTCTGACCACAGCTGTGCTTAGTGATTCCTGCCTAAATGGTGACCAGAGCAGGCCGGCAGCCTGGAACGTACTACTCCCCCGAGCAGGCCAGGTGCAGGGAAGACCCCAGGCCTCTGCGGGTCTGCAAAGGGAGGAGCCTGGGATGGAGGGGTTGGCGAATGGCTTGGCCAGAGGCAGGATAGCTGGGGGCGGTGCTCGGCAGAGGACCCAGCGTCCTGTGGGAGAAGGCAGTGGGTGGCTCCTGGCCACTGAGCTTGCAGCAGTCGTCACCATGACACCTGAGGGCAGAGAGGGCGTCGGGGGAAGGGCCTCTGCTCAGGTCCTCTTTCCTGGAGTTGGCTCTGCGGACACCGAGTCCAGCATGGCTAAGTCCTCCGTGGATGCCTCTGGGGGAGCGGCCTGTGTTATCAGCGCTGGAGTAAGGTCATGAGTGACCTCATGTCCACGGGCAGCCCGGAGACTTGTTTTTCTGGGTAAGGAGCTGTGCAGGCAGTGCTGTATGCAGAGGAGGAGCCCAGTGTCCCAAGACCCAGGAGGGCCTGGGTGTGGCCTGTGGGTGCTGGAGTCCAGGGCGGAGGCATTCAGGGCATCTTTGTCTGTCGGCAGCATCTGCCCCAGGCCAGAGAGCAAGGTGCAGTCAGAAACCACAGTGAGCCTGCAAGCAGGCACAGGGACGGGGGTTCGATCCTCAGGGCCCCAACCACAGGGCATTGAGACTGGGCACTGTGGCATGTACCTGTAACCCCAGCTCTTGGGAGGCTGTAAACAGGCGGATCACTACGAGTCCGATCTAGTAGTGAGACCCTGAACACCCTGTGGACCCTTCCCTAAAATACAAAATAAAAAAGAAAAAAGAAACCAAAGTGAATGCTAACATTTGAAAAATGTACTACAGAAGAGACGTGTGGCTGTGAAGCCCTCACAAACCCCTCCTCACCTTACATGCCAGTCACACCACCCCAGCCCTCGCCTGGGCAGCTCTGATATCATCTCTCCTGAGGGTCTTTAGGTGTCTGTCCTGGCGGCCTCAGTGTCCGGAAGCAATTCAAAATGTTTCCCCTTTCCTGATCACTCTGACCTTGGAGACAAGCTGGAAGACACCTGGGGCCAGATCCAGTGTCCTGTTTTTACCATCCTTCTTCCTGGCAGAGACAGTCAGGAAAGAAGACTCCAGGGCTGCTGGAAGGCGGCGCAGACAGTGGGAGGAGTGGGCACCAAGCAGAGGGTGCGGGGCCAGTGGCCTGACAGACGGTAGCACGTTTTTCAGACGTCAACCCTCACCGTTAACTTTTCCCCTTCCAAGTGTTCCCAAACTCTGCCTCTCTCCGCGGCGATCTCAATGGCTTGGAGCCCTGTGCTTGCTGCCACCACCTGTGCCCGTCTTGGCACCGCTTTCCCGCCTTCTCCTGCGTGTGTTCGACTCTGCCATGTCCGGCACCAACCTGCTCATGATGCCCCTTGTCCTGGGCAGAGTGCTCACCACCCTCCCTCAGTAGTAGCGAGCAGCCCCGGTGGGGCCACGGCTCTGTGGCCGAGGATTCTTGGTCGAAAGAACAGGTGTGCGTGCCTGCTGTTTGCCCTGTGGCACTGCGCTGTGGCACGGCTTCCTGTCTGTGATGTGCAGGGTGCTGGGGTCACTCAGATAAGCTCTCCCGGGCTCAGGTGGCACAGTGCCTCTTTAGGCCACACTTGCGCGCAGGGCACCATCCTGGGTGCTGGGTGGTGAGATGTGGGTCCCTAGAGCTGGGGAAGCTCCTCAGTAGCTCCACCAGGAGACACCAGGGCCTGTGTCCCCAGCTGCGGGTGGAGCAGCTGTGGATCAAAGGGCGAGGGCCCTGCCCAGCCTGCCTGGGGCCACGCCCACAAAAGGGAGCCCCACCTTGGGACCTGGAGGTACTGGGGTGTCATGGCCAGGCCCCCCCAGTGGGCTGCATTTGTGGTCCTGTGTTGTCATGCCAGAGTTTTCTGCTGTATTAGTGAGACAGGGACACGTAGGAGAGCTGGGATTCATGGCACAGGAGGTACCTCCCGGAAGATTCTCGAAGCTGCTCCTCCATCTCTGTCCTGGGAGGGCATTCGAAGGACCCACAGCTAGAAGCCCTCCTCTCTGGGGTCCTCGCTTCTGAGCCAGCTGATAAACACAGGACCCAGTCAACTGGGAGGCAGCGGCCTACCCGCAAGGTGGGAGTCCTGGTCACAGCATTGCGCCCACCCCACCCCACCCCGAGGCCCCATCTCCCGCTGCAGCCAGGACTGCCCCAGGGCATGATCCTCTGAAGGAGAGACAGGAGCCAGGCCTGAGCTGGGGTCCGGAGCACAGTGACGGTGACAGAGCTGGAGGGGTCCACAGGGACAGACAGCAGGAGTGAAGCCACAGCTCCTGACCCGGTCTCTGCTCGAGGTCCTCCCTTCCTGGCCAGCCTCTGTGCGAGCACCTGGCCAGGCCAAAGCTGTGCCTGCTGCTTGGGGCAGCTGCCACAGACACAGGGACACTGCGGAGTGCAGGGCGCCTCAGCGCTCGCAGCAGGCGGGCAGGCCTGGGGCTCAGGAAGAGTTCTGGGGTGGTTCTCAGCTGTCCAGCGGGTACGTGCTGCAGTTGGACGCAAAGGCAGAACTCTTCTTGCAGACCCAGTCTGGAGTAGCATCTGTAATCGGGTTGTTACCAGGTAAGAATTTAGGGCAAAACCTGCATTTCACAGATCGTGTGATTTCTTAGGAATCAAAGCCAAGGGATGTCGGGTGGCATTTATCTGTGTCCGTTTCTCAGAGCTCAAATGAGCAAGAACAGCTCAGTGCAGGCTATTTGGTGTTCTGTATTCTACCGGGTGTTCACATTACAAGGCTTTCCTCAAAAACATGGATTGTACAACTTCAGACAGCCTCTCCTGACTAGGGTCCCTGGATGACCTGTAATAAAATACAATTTTAAAAGTAAAAGATAGGAAATTATGCCCAGATCTCGCACATTACAAATTCGGGGCCCTGGACTGCCTTCTCTGCTGGGTACTGCCCACTGTGGGCAGGCACCCGAGGGACCTGGTGGCAGAGGCGCTGTGCTGTAGGCGAGCCCCAGCATTGTCGGTGATGCCTGCTGCGGTGGCATGCTCATGGCTCCCAGCCTCCAGGGAAGGCTTGGCTTTAACTGTGCAGTCGCCTCTGGCGCTAGTAGTGAACTTTGCACTGTGCCAGGAAAACAGGGAAGGCAGATCTGGGGAAAATTTGCCTTTGACATAAATATAATCCCAGTGCCCTCAAAAGCCCAAGGAAGTGGGCGGGTTAGAGGCCTGTCCTCAGCATGGAGAACTTGTATGCCATTGGCATTGTAGGAAGGCGGCCCGGGCCAGAACCGCGGGACACAGCTCCAGCAGTGTGGGGGGGTCTGTCCCCCTGAGGGGATGCCCCTGCCCATCCATGTTTACCAAGCGCCGCCCGTGTGCCAAGGCTTCCTGGAGGCCACTGGTGAGGGCTGGGGCAAGGCCTCAAGCCGCCCTGGATGCCACGCCCTGGATGCGGGCCGCCCGGACCCAGCTGCACGGTCAGGTGAAGCATGTGGATCTCCGCAGACACGGGCGCCTTCACCGAGCGTGACCCCGGAGCAGAAGGAGAGTGGTGAAGACGCTGGGTTTCTAGCAACGAACAAAAACGCTGGAATTGGCACCAGCAACAAAAGGGGGCAGCAGTCAAGCTCCCTGCCCTGTGGAAACGGACACAGCCAGGCAGGAAAGGGAAGTAGAACCGAAAGATAAGAAGAGCAGAAAGCTGGTGTAGGCCATGCAGAGGGAGCCGGGACCACTGAGGCCACGACCCACGCCAGCACCCCAGCACAGCGGGCATCAGAAGATGGAGTGGCAGACTTGGTGCTACGCTGAGGGGGGGAGACAAAGGGCAGGAATATCTGCGACAGCTCTCTCGGGGGTTCTGAACAGAGTCCTGGAACACAGGATGGGAGAGGAGAGAGCAGGGGGAGACCCGCGCCGCTTGCTGATGGGACGCCTGCAGAGCGGCCATCATGTGTGGACAGAGCGTGCCTCCCCCAGCCGCCCCTCAGAGGACCACTTCCCCAGCGTGCTGCAGACACGCACCACCCTGGGCTCTGGGGACCACGGCTCAGGCACGCGGCAGCGGTGCGGTGTGGCTTGCGTTAGAGACCCGCCAGTAGGCTGGCACAGAGGTCGTACTAGAAAGACGGGCTTTCCTTATTCCCTCCTGAAATGAAAACTGGCATCGTGGCCAAACCTTTTAGCACGAAGGAAAAAATTTTGAGCTATGATGGAAGATAAAACTTCATATT